CCAGACAGACAGACAGAGACAGAGAGATAGAAAGCGAGAAATCCCCCCCCAGGGGGGATGGCCACGCCGCAATCCCTTCTCCTCCATTCTCCTCTCGAGATCTTGGGCACGCACGATCATGTGCCCAGCGTGAGTTTTAAGCCACCGGGTCCGAGACGCGAACCGCGGTCGACTACGTGGGAGTCCGGCGACCCAGCCATTACGCTAACTGCTGGTTCCCCTGGAGTCAGGGTATTCTTTTTTTTTTTTTTTGGAGAGATTTTCACCATAGGGCGCATGTGCTCGCCAGACAGACAGACAGAGACAGAGAGATAGAAAGCGAGAAATCCCCCCCCAGGGGGGATGGCCACGCCGCAATCCCTTCTCCTCCATTCTCCTCTCGAGATCTTGGGCACGCACGATCATGTGCCCAGCGTGAGTTTTAAGCCACCGGGTCCGAGACGCGAACCGCGGTCGACTACGTGGGAGTCCGGCGACCCAGCCATTACGCTAACTGCTGGTTCCCCTGGAGTCAGGGTATTCTTTTTTTTTTTTTTTGGAGAGATTTTCACCATAGGGCGCATGTGCTCGCCAGACAGACAGACAGAGACAGAGAGATAGAAAGCGAGAAATCCCCCCCCAGGGGGGATGGCCACGCCGCAATCCCTTCTCCTCCATTCTCCTCTCGAGATCTTGGGCACGCACGATCATGTGCCCAGCGTGAGTTTTAAGCCACCGGGTCCGAGACGCGAACCGCGGTCGACTACGTGGGAGTCCGGCGACCCAGCCATTACGCTAACTGCTGGTTCCCCTGGAGTCAGGGTATTTTTGAGCCAAGTAGAAATAGCATTTCTGGAAGGATGGCATCATGATAAAAGTATATCTAGTCCCATATAGGGATTTATAGTGTATTTCCTGTAGACTGAGGTAGGCTGCTAGCATGGAGAGATGATGTTGCAGTACGTACAGAGTACAGAGCGTGGCACAACTACACTGATGGGCTTCCGTGGCCAAATACAGCATGTTGGTCCCCATACTCTTATCTAGGTTAGACATACTTGACCATGCTAATCATGGAGGCAGCAGTTCTGAGGACCTGCCAGGCATTCTAGAAGACTCTTCCAAAGAAACATTGTGTTCTCTTTTTTGGTTTTCTTTGTTCCAGCAAGTTTGCCATGAATTAAGAGTTTATCTTCCCTGTGGTATAATATTAAGGAGTTAGTGTGCAAAAGACATGCGATTTCTCCTCCCAGTAGAAGCAGGTGGGCTGCGCCAGAGTTGAGAAACCAGCGTTGATGAAATGTTGCTCTATTGATGGAGTTTGAGATCTTAGCTTAGCTGGCCCTGTGTTTCCTCACTAGCAGCTTTAAATAACTGTTTGTTATTTTAAGTAGAAAGGATGAAGGTTAGTGTTAGGATTAGAATACTGCTATGACTAATAGCTGTTTGGTGTACAAAGCATCACTTTAAAATTTAATTTACTGCTAGTTTGTTCTAATAAAGGATTTATTGATAGTTTGAATAAATGGGGGAGAACAAGGTTTATTTTATTGAGGACTTGCAGGCTGAAATGATTTGTAAAACATATTTCAAAGTCCAATTGATACAGGTTCCAGGGTAATAGATCAATCTGAAAAAATGGCAAATTTGTTTAGACAAATCAACAATATAGTAAGTACCTCTGTTGATCCTTTTAGAAAGTACACATTGTGGGCTGGCATATTTTTTAACGTATGCATTGTAATATATGAAGGGAGAAGGACAAATTTATTAAGAAGGAACAAGAAATGCATGAAGGAATAAGATAAAATCATGACTGACAACCCCACTGGATATGACAAATTGTATTGGCCAATTCTGGGAAGTAGTTTGGCAATTTCTTACTGAGTTAAACACATACTTACCATATGACTCAGCTACTACCAAGAAAAAGGAAAACATGCCAGTGTTTACATGTGTGTTTAAGCAGTTTTGTCCATAGTAGAGCAGAACTGAGAAGCCTGGGCTGGCCCCAGAGCAGTAGTTAGATGGTGCACAGAGTAAGTCAGACACTATGTTGCTGAACAGGGTTCAAATCATGGCCCTGGTGGCTTGGAAAACATGCTGGGTGTATGCACATGCCAGGATCCTGACTACATGAAGAATTCGAGAAAAAAGGATTGTGGTGAAATGAAACCCAGTTGTGGGTGTGTGCACAATCCTTGCGCTGTCTTGACTGTGTGCTCATACACCCTCTGGCACTTAAGAACAAACTATAAAAACCCATTTTCTTTTATTCGTAGGAATGAGAAAATAACCCACCTAAGACTGCAAGTATGAAAATTAGCTTAGACTCAGAAAGAAAAAATAAGCAGTCCTACCATTTATCAGGCTAGGAGGATAGATAAAAGATAAAGCCATCTCCAGAGTTTATACGAAACAATGTCTCGGACAGCACCCACTCTCTGTTTCATTCCCAGTTCTCCTAATCTTTCAGGAATAGCTGATTGAGAGCAGATCACAGCTTCCCTTAGAGTCTCTTAGAATCCTTCAGAATTGTAACTCTTTTCTGTTGGCTTTCCACAGTTTTTTATAGTGCCTTCCTCACTGGTCAGTCCGATTTTGATAGAATACACATGTGGTCATTCTGGCCAATTAGGTACTACCCAAACTGGAATCGTGTACATCAGTAGGTAAATGGATCAGCAACTTTGTGTTATAGTAATTTTGCTGTAGCTTAAATGTGTCCTCCCAAAATACATGTGTGAAAACTGGTTATTATTGGACCAGCCAGGTGCAGTGGTGCTTAAGGCAGCTGGATCCCACATGGCTGACAGTGCGGTTCAAGTCCTGGACCTGGCGGCTTGAAAACATGCTGAAAGGAATCAAGGGGGAAAATAAAAAGAAGATGCAAAATCATCTAACAAACACTAAAATGGAAAATTATCTGGTTATGATGATGTATATGGTAATATCTTTGACTGGACTAATATGCAATGTATTCAGATTGGGCAAATCTATTTTATGTGCTATAAAGATATACAGTGATTGAATGTAAAGAAAATAAATAAATAAAAGAAGGAAAAATCATTGTTACTTACTTTTCTGCTCTCTCTAGTTTGATATCAGTTATTCTATTTCCAAAGAGTTTTTTTTTTTTCCATTGAACTCAGATAGCCCACAGTTGTTAAAATGTGCGTAGTCATGGCTCTCAATTATCAGGTATTTACTTTCTTTCTGATTTTATGAAGATTAAGTCAAACATATATGTAAACTAATCTTTATAAATGTTACATTTAATATGTTTGTTAATATCTTTGGCTGAACTAATATGTAGTGTATTCATGTTGAGAAAATTCATTTTGTATGCTGTAAAGATGTATAATGATTAAATGCAAAATAATTAGAAAATAAAATTTAAAAAAACCACATATTAACAAAAAAGAAATGAGAGACCAGCAGTTAGTGTAATGGCTATGTCGCTGGACTCCCACGTAGTCGACCGCGGTTCACATCCTGGACCCGGTGGCTTAAAACTCACACCAGGCACGTGTGTGTGCGTGCCCAAGATCCCGAGAGGAGAATGGAGGAGAAGGGATTGTTGTGTGGCCATCCCCCCAGATGATGATTCCTCACTGTCCCTCTAAATCTCTTTCTCATCAAGAAGCACACATGCCCTATAAGAAAAAACTTAAAAATAATAAAATAAAATTGGTTGTTATTGTGATGGTGTTAGGGTGTAATCTGACTATGATATTATGAGGTGGACCCTTTGGGAGGCAGTTAGGATTAGATAAAGTCATAATGGCAGGGCCTTGAATTAAATACTGGTGGCTTTATAAGGAGAGATCAGAACGGACACATTTAATATTGCCCTGAACATGTGATGCCCTTGGCCACCTTAGGCCTTTGTAGAGTCCCTACCAGCAAGATGGCCTCACCAGCTGCAGCCCCTTGACCTCAGTACTCCAAAACTAGCAGAACTATATAAATGTATAGGTAGCCATAGAAATTTGATCACTGGCTGTGTGGGCCAGGGTTTTGGAGTGAGATATACTCTAGCCAACGTGAGGGAACTTTCTTGGGAGAGGATCAGAGTTGTGTGTAATAGACATATACATACATTTGTTAAAAGTAGTCAGCCTTGGGAGGCAGCAGGGGGCATGGTGGTTGAGGGTGCTAGATTCCCACATGACTGACTATGGTTTGACACCTGGACCTGGTGGCTTGCTTTCTCACTTTCTCTCCCTCTCCCTCTCTCTCTCTCTCTGTCTCTGTTCCTCCCTGGTCAAATTTAAATAAATAAATAAATAAATAAATAAATAAAGTTAAATGAGATAATTCTTAAAAAAAAGTAGCCCACATGACTAACATGTTAATTTTATTTTAAGAATATTATGCCTTAAAATTCAGCAGAAGGATATACAATGTCAAGGTATTAATCCAAGATCGATGTGAGTTGTTAATGGGGTTAGCACCTACAGGATCAGTCACCCAGGGGGACCTGGAATATTGTCTGGGATTTACATTTGAGTTCATGTAAATGTGGAATATTAATTGGTCCTCCTTGTAGTAAGTGAATTGTCCCTGTTTATCAGCTTTATTGATTGTAAATCCTCTAATTGTGGGATTAATGGCACTAAAAGGGATGGCATACTTAAGTATGGCACTATACATACTTAAGAGGACAGGATGGAGAAGAAAAATAAGTAAGGAGTAGAAGGAAGTGCTTCTTTGAGTCTCAAGTGGCACAGTCATATTCCCCTTGCGTTTTTCAGGTATCCACCATAGAATGGACCTTCAATTGTGGCTGAGATGTTGTCAACTCTTTATGCAGTGGCTACTTGCCTGAGTTTATTTTTTCCTGTTTTGTGTTGGATAAAGCTAAGTAAGCCGATGTGGACTGCCTGTTATGGTCTTTCATTCTCTTGTCCATTCTGAACCCAGAACCAGCTGATGAGTTAGTGGTGGTGTACTATGCTGTAATTGTTATAAAATTTAATTTTATTATCTTATGTAAAGTTGTACTTCATTTTTTGCAGTTAAGCCTTCAGGTACAAAATGTTACGTTGATGGATCAGAAGAAATTGGAAATGATTTTAAACTGAAATGTGAACCAAAAGAAGGTTCCACTCCATTACGATACGAATGGCAAAAATTGTCTGACACACAGAGAATGCCCACCCCGTGGTTAGCAGGTATTGCTGGTGATACATGCTTTGAACTGTGTGTCTTTGATTTGGTGCAAATCTAGTAGGGTTTGTATGTTTATGTTTTTAAGTATCTTCCTTTTTTTTTTGTTTTTTGGAGAGGTTTTTGCCATAGGGTGCGGGCACTTACCAGAAAGACAGAAACAAAGAGACAGAAAGCAAGAGATCTTCCCCCAGGGGGTATGGCCACGCCACAATCCATTCTCATGGGATCTTGGACACTCACGCACATGCTCCAGGTGTGAGTTTAAGCTGCCGGGTCCAGGACTCAAACCGCGTTCAACTACATGGGAATCCAGCAACATAGCCATTACACTAACTGCTAGTCTCAGTACCTACCCTTTTTTTAATAGAACAATTTCCATAGCAATTATTCGGTGTTCTATAACAACAACTTAGTGTTATATAATATAAATGAAGAGAAATTTCCTGTTATGATATTACATTTTAGGACATTCTACTGAGGTAGTTTTTGTTTTGTTTTTTTTTTTTCTATAGGAAATGATCATGATTATAAATTAGCGGACTGAAGTATAGTAAGAGTTAGATCTTGAATACTTGGAAAGATTTATGTGGAAAATACTTTGCCCATTATGTGTCTGTAAAAACAGAACAAAACCAAGTAAATAAAGCTGTGTTGCACCAACTATGGATTGAAAATTGCAGATCAGCTAAATCTGATCACCTCCTTGTTTATTACAACTGATCTGTTTAAACTGATAGGTATGTTTCATTCAGCCTTGGTCTTTATTTAGGTTTTACCCTGTGCCTCTCTTTTTCAAACGAAGAGGCCAGGAGCAGCAGTTAGCGTAATGGCTATGTCTCTGGGACTCCAATGTAGTCGACCAGACCTGGTGGCTTGAACTCAGGCTGGGCGCGTGTGCATGCTTGCCCAAGATCCTGAGAGAAAAATGGAGGAGAAGGGATTGCAGCGTGGCCATCCCTCCTGGGGGGTCATTTCTTGCTTTCTGTTTCTCTGTCTCTATCTGTCTGGCAAGTGTACGTGCCCTATAGCAAAAAAATAAAAAATAAAAAATAAAAAACAAGCAAAAAAAAATAAAACAAAAAAACCCAAGAGGCCAAACTACATGATGTCTTCTGACTTTGTTCTATGTTTCTGCTATCTAGGGGGCTTTGCAAGTGTTCCTGCAGCATGAAAGAGTCTTTGTGGAGTGAAATGCTTTTGTAATTAGATATAGCTTAAAATATGTTTGTAGCTGCAGTGCAGTACCCCAACACCCACATTTTGGCTTTGGCACTGTGGCTGTGGGGGTGTTGGAGTACTGCAGTTATCATGTTTGCCTGAATTCAGGAGGCATGTCTGTGGCTTGTGGGAGTTTGTATACACCCAGCCTTGGCCTGTCTTGCTGTTAACTCAATCTTCAAACTTAACTAGATTTACCTTTACTAAAAACTCAGAACATACAGGCTATAAAAGTGATTTTGCTTTTTTATTTTCCCATAGAAATGACTTCATCTGTTATATCTGTAAAAAATGCCACTTCTGAGTACTCTGGGATGTATAGCTGTACAGTCAAAAACACAGTGGGCTCTGATCAATGCTTGCTTCGCCTGGACGTTGTTCCTCGTAAGTATCTTCTCTCCACCTGTTGTGATAATGTTCCTGTTTTCTTTATATAACTGCCATGAATTCAGTCGGCAATTGTGTATTAGGGCAAGGGGTTGCTAACTGATCAGAATACAATACAAGTTGGTTATTAACTTTTCTAGTTCATGGAGAGGAAAAAATAATATGTCTTATTAATAAAAACCTTCATTGGCACCAGCAGTTGGTGCAATGGCTATGTCACTGTACTCCCATGTAGTCAACCACAGTTCAAGTTCCGAACCCAGTGGCTTAAACTTACACCAGACGCATGTGTGTGCGTGCCCAAGATCCCGAGAGGAGAATGAAGGAGAAGGGATTGCGGTGTGGCAATCCCCCCAGGGGGTGATTTCTAGCTTTCTGTCTCTGTTTCTCTCTGTCTTTCTGGCGAGTACACGTACCCTATGGCAAAAAAAAAACCTCTCAAAAAAAAAAAAAAAACCATTGCAATATTAAGAAGGTAAGAGTTGTCGAGTCAACTGTCATGTCATTTCTAGTCATTGTAAGTGTGAATAGCATAGAACTTTCATATGTGCTAACCAGGATAGCTCTGAGCATTAAAATCTTATAGACAGATTTTGTCTTTTTTTCCCTCCAAGTTTTTTTTTTTGCTATAGAGTGCGTGCACTCACCAGAGAGAGACAGTGAGATAGGGAAAGTAAGAAATTACCCCACCTCCTCTAGGGAAAGGCCATGCTGCAGTGCAGTCCCTTTTCTTCTATTCTCTACTTGGGACTTTGGGCATGCGTACACATGAACCCAGCATGATTTTCAGGCGACTGTGTCTGCGACTTGAACTGTGGACTTGGTCATATGGGATCCAGCCTCCATGCCACCTGCTGGCCCATTTCATTTTTATGCTTGAAATAGATTATATAGTTCAAAAGAACTTTTTATGATCTTTTTATGGATTTCTACCCTGGATCAAAAAGGCTAATTTGTCCTTTAAAGTTGCTATGCAGTGAAATCAATCTATTAATGTGTATCCTGCATCAATATCAATACATACAGGTTTGTTTTACTATTAATTCCTGTTAACATCTTATTCTAGCTTCAAATAGAGCTGGAACAATCGCGGGAGCTATTATAGGAACTTTGCTTGCTCTAGTGCTCATTGGTCTTATCATCTTTTGCTGTCATAAAAAACGCAGAGAAGAAAAATATGAAAAAGAAGTTCATCATGATATCAGGTAATTACATAAAATATGAGTTGACTGATGCATCTCAAGTATATGTCTCTAAAGCTTTAATTCTCTTAATCACATACAAAGCATCTACCCTATGAGAATTGGATAAAAACTCTGGCTTCTCCATTCAACACATTTGAGAGCATTTCTTTTCAAGTGTACAAGTAAAACCACCCCTTCACTGTGCCCCTCAACCCAAATTTTCTTGTACCCTATTTTCTGAACAACTTCAAAATAATTACCTTCAGATTGCCTTCTCAAAATAAAATGACAAGGATCGCGTTTTCAAAAATGGAGATGCTGAGGTTTAAAAAAGAAATTGTATCAGGAAGGTCCAGTTACCTAGGGGTTAAGTGAGTTGGATCCTGTGTGACTGACCACAGTTCTGAGTCCTGGCCCTGGTGGTTTGTAAAACAAACTGGGTATGTATGTGTGCGTGCTCAAAATCTTGATTGGATGTGAAATGGAGAAGGGATTGCAACATGGACACATCTGATTGGGAGGTGCTTTCTGTCTCTGGTGAGTACATGTGCCTTCTGGACATTAAAAAGAGATTATGTTGGGACCAGCAGTTAGCATAATGGCTATGTTGCTGGACTTCCATGTAGTCGACCGCGGTTCGCGTCTCGGACCCGGTGGCTTAAAACTCACGCTGGGCTCGTGTGCATGCGTGCCCACGATCCTGAGAGGAGAACAGAGGAAAAGGGATTGTGGCATGGCCATCCCCCCTGGGGAGTGATTTCTCACTTTCTGTCTCTCTCTCTCTCTCTGTCTGGCAAGCGCACACGCCCTATAGCAAAAACCTCTTAAAAAAAAGAAGAGAGATTATGTCAAGAGACATGAATAGTTTGTAGAAGCCTTGGTAGTGTGATTTGATTTTTCATAAATATTCTTAAGTTTATTACTGTCATGACTATGTAAGATGGGGAGGAGCCCCAATAGGGGCTCGATTTATCCCCAGGCTCCAGCTAACCCTGGATTATAGATACATGTGTGCCTGGCACTTTTAGGGAGATCTCCAGATGCGAACCTAGAAACTTCCCCTGTGGTCCAGCCTCACGAAGCATTGCATTTACTTGTGAACCACCATCCAATCCTATTTTTCTCATTAACCAGTAGATCTTAACTAGTGATGTATATTGGATCATAAGACTGTTTTTTTTTTTTTTTTCCCCAAGAGATTTTGGCTATAGGGCATGTATGCTTGACAGAAAGATAGAGACAGAAAGTGAGAAATCACCCCCCAGGGTGGATGGCCATACTGTAATCCTTTCTCCTCCACTCTCCTCTCAAGACTTTGGGCATACATGCACATGTGCCTGGTGTGAGTTTAAAGCTGCCACTTCTGGGACTTGAACTGTGGTCAGCCATGTGGAAGTCTAGCAATGTAACTGTTATATTATCTGCTGGTACCAGATTATAAGACTTTTAGAAATAAAAACACATGATTTAACACCTTGGAAATTGACATTTGGTAGATGTGACTGGGGTCTGAGCACTTGTATTTTTAAAATGCACCAAAGGAAACTCGTACTCTTTGTCAGTGCCTGGTATAAAAATTCTTATGCCTAAGTTCCCAGTTATTGCAAACTTAAATCTGCAAGGTTTTTGATTAAGATCTTTGACAACTTTCATAGCAAAAAAGAATTTCTTTACTGGAGGAGTAGAGGGATACAAATAAATCTGTAGTTGTTAACTTTTTTTTTTTTAATAATCACCAGAGAGTGTGTGCACTCACCACAGAGAGGGGAAAAGCTCCCCTCCTTAGGGCATGAGTGTGCTTCAATCCCTTCTCCATATCACCATTCTTTTGGGATTTAGAACATGTGTGTACATGGACCCAGCATGTTTTTTGAGCCACTGAACCAGGATTTGAACCATGGTTGGACATATGGGATTGGCTCCTTTATTAATCTAGGAGGCTGGTCCAAGTGTTAATGTTTTATCACTATGAAGTGTTACATGATAAGTAGGTTATTATTATTTTTAAGAATTATTTAGTTTTATTATTATTTAATTTGTTATATGGCACATGCATGGTGGGGGGTGGGGAGAGAAAGCAAGCCACCAGCTCTGGGACTCAAATCGTGATTGACCTTGTGTGAGTTCAGCATCTTAACCACCACACCACCTGCTGTCTCCTGTAAACAGGTTATTTTTATCCGTGATGCTAGAATGTGAAACTATTGAGATTTGTCCCTTATAATGTTATAGAACTATATACAAGTGTGTAAAAATTATTTCATCATGTATGAACATAAATACTCCTTATTCGAAATAGGGACAGATTTGCAGATTATGACATCATGCCTTGTTCTGCCTGCCTTTTTTGTGACATATAGCTATGTACTGCATAAGGATGTTTCAGTGTCAGGCCTCTTACTTAATGGTAGTCCCAAAAGGAACAATAGGCTATACCATTTAGCCTACGTGTATGGAGGCCATGCTATTCAAGTTCGTGTAAGTACATTCTGTGATGTTGGTACAGTACTGAAATTGTCTAACAGTGCATTTCTCAGACTGTATTCCCATCGTTAAGCAACACATAACTGAACTTACTATTACGACTTAAATAGAGGCTCTTGCCCATGATTGATAGCTTACATAAACATATGGTTTTAAAAATGTCTTCTTTAACTTGTGTTGGGGACTTTGCATTCCAGGGAAGACGTCCCTCCTCCAAAGAGCCGTACGTCCACTGCCAGAAGCTACATTGGCAGCAATCATTCATCTCTGGGATCCATGTCTCCTTCCAATATGGAGGGATATTCCAAGACTCAGTATAACCAAGTACCAAGTGAAGACTTTGAACGTGCTCCTCAGAGTCCAACTCTCCCACCTGCCAAGGTAGCTGCCCCTAATCTAAGTCGAATGGGAGCGGTTCCTGTGATGATTCCAGCACAGAGCAAGGATGGGTCTATAGTGTAGAGCCTTTGTAGCTCTCATCTATTCTGTGTTTCTTTTCTTTTCTTGATGTATGAAACCTACGCTGGTCTTAATTTTGTTACCAGCCTCAAAATATATCAAAAAGAAGTTGATCACAAACTGTATGAAATATACTTCAAGAAATTTTGTGTGGTTATATTGAAAGAGTAAAGGCATTAAAGTTAGCAAAGACAAAGTCACAAAAGCTGGATTTCCCTTAAGAGGTTGATTTTAAAGGCTTCTAAATATCAATACCCAAGTAACATGTAGCACTTTGAATATGAAATTATAGGTGAAGACATTAGTGAATTTACGTGCATACCAAGTTAATACTTGAATCATTTGGAAGTGGTACTTTGTCATCTCTTCCATTATTTTTAGGATGTGTCATTTACTTATGACTCAGAAATCTCTCCCCCAAATTAGTAAAGAAACATCTGTGGCAAGATTACTTATGTATATTTGTGTACATGTTTTTAAAGCTTCTTTGGAAAGTCTAAATGTGTTTGGAATATCCGTAATAACAGAAAACACTACATTATTTAAGGATTTTTAGTTTTTCAAGTTGTTCATAAACTTTATCTATGAAATGATGGTCTTAAATATTTATTGATAGATGATAGATTGCTTTAGGCATCAGGAGCATAGTAAGCTCTCTTTATGTGCTAAAGTGAAGAAGCATCTATCAGAGTCATTAGAACATGTACTGTTAGCTACATGGCACTACTGGTGCAATGGTGGGTACAGATTTTCTTGAATATTGATCTGATGCCTCGAGGCCTTTTACTGATCTTCAAAATGGTGACCAGCCAGATTAAAGATACACTATTCCATAGTTCCCAGCTAAGCACTGGCTCTCTCCAGTTCAGATGATATTTTTCTAACAAAAAAATTTATTATTTGACAATTATAGATTAAAATTCCCTAATTATCAATTCTAAATTTTTAGTGTTTTTTTTTTTTTCCTGGCACAGAGGTTTTGTTTTGTTTTTGAATAATATTGCATATTATTTATTCTTTTAAAAACATGTAATCCTAAATTTAACCTCTTGAATGCAGTTTCTGGAATATAATCTTCTTTATATATTTACTCAGAATGATCAAATGCAGTTTAAGCAAATAAAGGTCCTCCATTAATTCTGCAGTCCAGACTTGGGAGGATACCGTTGCTGTTTTGTGGCCAAACACATTTTTGTGTAGTTCCAGCATATCAAGTTTGAGTCTTAGTTTTGTGAAAGTGATTTATTCTTTAATTAAAAAGAAAAAAAGAAAGAAAAAGGAGTAAAGGGAATACTCCTGCCTGCCAAATGTATTAAATACTGTTTTAGTAGAGAAAAGTGGATTTATTGTATTTCCCTTAAGATTGCGAGGGAATGTGAATACAGTAGAATGAACCAACAGTTTCGTTTTAGTAAGTAAGGTCTGCAATAAATTATTTCACTAGCTCTAAAACCTTTTCCCTAGATTTTAGTAGGGAGTTGGTTCCTGTTCATCTCTTTCGGTGCTGTGGTGGTAAATGCTACATTATAAGTAAATGTTGGCATGTACTTATGATTAGGCAAAGTATTGTGTACATTTCTTAATGTTAAACTTAAGCTGAATGTGTAATGGATTAGTGTATAGTTTTACATATTCTAAAGCATTTTAAAATAGGTTTTTAACTTTACATAAGATTACTTTTATATTTGTGTTAACATTTTTAACTGTGCCTTTTGGGTAATTTAATTTGTTATGAATTTCTGGTGCCTATGAGCTAGCTACCACCTGACAGGTGCTTAGAGGTGAAGGTACTGTTTCTTAAAAGTGCATCACTGTGACACCTTTCTATCCTCATACTTTCAATCTTGCCTCTTTTTTGTTCTTTTTGAGCATAACTTAAATGATTATGTTATTCATAAAAACTGAAAACATCAGCATCCCCAACACTTTTTGACTGTTTCTGATTTAATAACAGTAGCTATATTTGATTGCCAAATGTTCGGTCTGTTTTATATGAATAAAATTTTATTTATAAGATATGAGAATAAACAGAGGACACAGACTTGTAACAATGAAAACATTTTCATCCTTCCTATTCCTGATCTTTATTTAATGAAGATCATGCTATCAGTCTAAGCAGAAATTACTTCAGAAAGTGGACTTGTGTAAGACTTCCCTTCTCTTAGCATTCCTATTGGTGATAAGCAAATCAGAATCTCTTCCAGAAAGACTTTGAGTTTAGATGTATACCAAGCAATCTGAAATTTATGTAGCTTGAAAAGACCTCGTGGGTGTGAGTTTAGCAAGTATAGTTTTGTTTTAGGCTTATGTTTCCAGCTACTCTCATTGTAAAATTTCAGTTGATCCAAAGATCAGGTAGTACTGAAAGTTTCTCAAATTATATTCTTTCAGTTGAATTAGAGATCCCAGATATTTATTCTAGAATGACTACTGGTAGTCTTCTAGTAGTTCAGCATAGCATTATTAAAGCATGTCAGTTAGAGAGACAGACACCAGTCAAGGATGGCACTGACGATGAGACTATGCCATCTTTTTAAAGTTAAAGTGAAATGATCCTGTAGAGTATCTATAGTTCTGTATTTTAAATATTGAGTGGATTATAAGTATTCTTTTCCTTATTTGCAATCTTACTAGTATTCCCTTGTTATCTTACTAATAACACTTGGCTCCTATAAAAAAAAAGTCTATAATTGATCACATTGACAGTTATTCTGGACAGATTACTCTCTTAAATTTGAGCTTTCTGCCATGGACATGTTACAGTAAAAACACATTCTAAGTGTGTCTTAGGGGGAGATTAACTGAAAAAAAACCCCAAATTATCCTAACTATGGATATAAAGAAATGATCTGATTTTTATTTAAAAGATATTTTTTAAAATTTATGTTTGAGTTCTGGAAATTTGGAATAAGTAGAGGGGCACGCAGAAATTTGGATCAAATGTGGAAATAACTCTTTGCACAAAATTGGCTTATCACATTCACTTTTAAAAATAACTGCTCAACATCTTGTGTGTGTTCAGCATGTAAATTTTAAGTTATGTGAATGTTTGGACTTTCTAATTTTTGTTCCAACAGTGTTTAGGGCTTTCAGATGCCTTATTCCAGTGTGAACAGAAAACGTTCATGTTTCATGTGGTTTATGCTTTGCTGTGTCACATGAGTAGTTAGAAAATGTTGGCACAATTTTAACTTTAGTGACTTGTGACTATATATTATATATATGTACATATATCTTAATATTCTTGTGTTTAGTAGTGTAAATGTTTCTGGGCAAGTTTTAATATTTCAGATGCCTTTGGATATTCCAGCAATAAGGCAACATGTCCTTCAACAGAGTTTGATACTCATTTGCCTATTTTGACACTAACCAATCCATAACTGAGCACAAATTACTTTTCTAAATGTTACAGAAGCAGGGAAGAATATAAATAAATTTGTGAATTGTGGTTCTGTTTATTTCTCTTTAGGGAAGGCTGATCATTTATCTTATAATGGTAACATCAGCCTCCTACTAATTAAATCAAGTTTTACAAAATATATATCCTATTTTGTAATTTAAGAATATCGTGAAAATCCGTTGATTTGGTTTTAGTTATGAACAGTAAAAGTTCCATCAAAGAACTTTTGCCTTTTCTGATAATTTATTTAATGTCACAAGTGTTAAGAGAACCACAGCTCATTGATTTACTTATTCTCGTCCTTAACTGTGAATTTTAGTAAGACTCTTGTACTACTGAGAAAAATATTTGGCACATGTCTGCAAAGTAGGAAATTGATAGTGTCAGTTTCAGGTTTTGTATTTAAAATTTCTGGCTTACATAACCCAATGGTGCAGATTTTGAAATTTGTAAGAACAAATTTGTTTAAAAAGACAAAAACTTGCTCTAGTTTTGTGACCTTGTGTACTTTTGAAATAAAATCAAGAAAGCAGTTTTCTGCCTCATGGTGTGGCTTTATTGTGCCTTAAAAAGTATTTATTAAAGCATCAACATATTCTTTCCTGCATTCCTGTTTCAAGGTTTCTCTCCTCTACTATGTATTTAAACAGAAAAAAAAATTAAATATTACAACAATCATATATCAAGGAGCATGTGACAAACATACAGACGTATTTCTCCACTCCATGTATTTGCATGAGACTATATTATGTAATATAGGGGGTTGAATTTCCAGAGTTCTGTGTCGATTTCAAAACTTGTAGTATAAACTGAAGAGTTTCTCAGATACATTTAAGGGAGCCAGGTGCAGCAGTGAAGCACAATGCTTTGCAAGACAAGTCAGCATTGGGGAGGGTTCATGGTTCAGGTCCAGAGACTTCTCTCTAGGCAAGCCAGTCACATGTAAGCCTCTGATCTGGAGCTGGCTGAAAGCTGGGGGAGGGGAGGGTGGAGCATGGCTTCAGGACCCTGGTGAGGGTGCTGTCTCTTTCTGTCTTTCATTTTTACTCATAGCGACAGTAAATAGGTTTTAAAAAGGTGCATTAAAAGTTTGCATGCTTATATGAATTACATGTGTACACATCTGTCTTAGGCTATTCCCACTGCTATTAACAAAATTCCTTTAGGAGGCTGAGAAATGGAAGATAAGGCACTGACAGATTCAGTGTCTGGTGATGGCCTGCCCTCTACTTCAAAGATGGTGCCTCCAAGTGTCCCCGGTGTGGTAGAAGAGGGCAAGGGAGCTTGCCTCATGAGTCCTCTTTTATAGGGGACTGACCTCATTCGTGAATATAGAACCCTCACAACCTGATCACTTACCAAAGGCCTACTTCTAAATATCATCACATTGTATTACGACTTTAGCATGAACTTTAGAGGTATATGAAGATTGAGACATAGCAACATCATGGTTTGGGGGGATAAAAACCCAGGATGGAGTAGTAATACTTTTTTTTTTTTTTTGAGAGGTTTTTGCTATAGGGTGCGTGCACTCGCCAGAAAGACAGAGAGAGACAGGAAAATAGAAAGCAAGAAATCACCCCCCAGGGGGGATGGCCACGCCTCAATCCCTTTTCCTCCATTCGCCTCTCAGGATCTTGGACATGCACGCACACGTGCCCGGCATGAATTTAAGCCACTGGGTCTGGGACTCGAACCATGGTCGACTACGTGGGAATCCAGCGACATAGCCATTACACCAACTGCTGGTACCAAGTAATACTTCTTTAAAAAGACATGCTGGGAAATATCTTGTTTATACTAGTTTCTCAACCTCAGCACTATTAACTTTTTTTTTTTTTTTTAAATTGCCAGTGGGCACATACTTGCTAGAGAGAGAAAGAGAGAAAGCACCCTCAATGGGGCATGGTCATGACATAATCCCTTTTCCCTCTATTTCTCCATTCTGTTAGGATTTGGGTCATGCATACATACACATACATTTGGCATGGTTTTTTTTTTTTTTCAAGCCACTGGGACTGGGACTCGATTTGCAGTTGGCCATGTTGGATCCAACTTTCTATGCAGGGCACTTAATTGGTAAGCCATGGCACTGGCTCACTATTAGCATTTTGTTGTAGGAAACTTATGTGTGCATTGTGGGATGTTTAGCAGTACCGTCGCTTCTGCCTGTTAGCTATCAGTAGCACCCTCTCAGCTCCCACAGTTGTGATGATGGAAGTGTCTGTGAACATCTCAAGACTGCCTCATTTGAGAACCACAGATTTATATTAATGCAGTTTTCTACATGGGAATTAGGTTAAAAGGATTTATTTGTCAGGCATGTTTAAATACCACTTACTACTAGTTGTTTCATTTAGCTTCAGTTTCCTAGTCCTTAAAATGAGGATTAAAAATAGGTACTTAATAGGGATACTAGAAGATTTTAAAGACACAAAATTCATGTAATAAGGAAAATATCTTTGTATTTTATTTACCTCTAGTATCTGAGATGCTGATAATAATACAAAGGCTTTCAAAGAACTGAGATTATCATAAAATAATACTAAGTGAAACTACTAATGAGTATAATTTAATGCCTTTAATTTAGGCCATATTTTATTTGTGTAAAATGGAACTCTAAAGGCAGAATCACATTTCTGGTTAACAAATGGCAAGCTGATTAAATTGCTACAACATTGAATGCAAAGTAATTTGTTATGAAATATATAAAGATGGCATAGTTTAAGACATAATCAAATTAATTTCAGGATGCTGTAATAGCAACAGTGAAAAGATAGGAAGGTAGCCAAGAAACTAAGCATTTTTTTGGTTGGTGTATCTGAAGTGTAAACCAAACATACTTCGTTACTTAGATGAATTAAGTAACAAGATACAGAAATGATAGTTTTGAAGTAATTTCCCATGAAGTATTAAAAACTATCATGAATGATCTTGACATGTTTGTGAGTCATTCTCCTCCATCCTAGCAGATTAATTTATTTTCTACAAGGGTTTTTTTTGTTTGTTTGTTTTGTTTTGTTTTTTTGAGAGGTTTTCTCACACACCTCCAAATACATGTTATTGTAGTATCTAAGGGGTCATGGTTTCTTACCTCCTGAACATGCAACTTCCACAGCCAAACCCCTCCTTGTTTACCTGTCCAACCTATCCAATACCTGTTTGCTCTGCACATCTTAAGCTCAAATGTCATCTCCTTTGAATCATTTTTCTTGGTTAAATAACTCACATGGTTAAATCAGGGGTGGTCCTGGGCTCCTCCCATTTATTGCCAGCATGGGTCTTTTATGACACAAAGTCTTTTGCATTCTAATTGTTTTACATGTTTAATCTGCCTCCTTTAAGAGTCTGAAGATGGTTTATTTACCTGTTTCTGGCTCAGTAAATGACTGGTTATTTAGTAAGGAAACTGGGCACTAGAGGCAAGTATGCATTCATTAAGTATACATCATATATTCTGAGAGACCTGTTCTGGTCTCATCCAAAAGACAGTTATGAGAAAAAAAAAATGAGTATGCAGGGCCAGCTAGTTGGCATGTGTTTGAAGAGGCTGGATTCCCACATGGCTGACAGTGCAGTTCTAGTCTCAGGCTCTAAAAAACAGGTGACTTGAGAAAACACACTTGGCACCTCTGGGTGCTTGCCCTAAAATCCTGAAGAGAATGGAGAAGGAATTGTGGCACGGTCATCCCCCCTGGGATGGGGACTGCTTTTTCACACTCCCCCTTCAACATAGGAATTGGGTTTGGGGGGCCTATAGTTCAACCTACAACAGTAATGAAGATTGCAAATTATGAACAGGGGACTAATAAAACAGTGAAAGTCATGTGGAGCACATGCTCATTTTTTGTTTATTTAATTTCTGCTGGTACAATAACACCTAAATAAATAGATCAACATCTTTATTTCTTCATCTTTATTCCAAATATGATGACCTTAATAAACTGTTAACCTCACATCTGCTTATCAAGTGAAAAGAAGTCCTTGATGAAATGGTTATACATTTGTCTTTTTTAAGTGAACCTTGCTGACAAGATGGAATGATACTTTTTCAAGGAAGTAGAGCTTTAAAGAAGTTCTGTATTTTAAGTTATTCCCAGGTTAGTTTGAGATGGGGGAGACATGAGCATCATCAATGTAGGCTGTGGTGAGGCCTGAAAAGAGGGAAGGAGTCAAGAAAGAAGAATTTAAACAGAGAAATTAACTTGAAGAGGGGAGGGAGGACATTTCCTCCACAGACACAGGCCAGAAAGTGAGTTGGGTGCATATTTGCTACATTTTTGACTGTCAGGGGTGGGTAGATAAGAGCTAAGGAAACTGAGTGGAGAGAGAAGATTTAGGAAATCTGGGGTGAAGAATGAGAGAAGAAGCTTAGAACAGACAAAGGAAACACTGAATGGTCTTGAGAGTGCTGGTAGATTTAGAACATGGACCTGTTATACCTGGCCTATTTAGGGCCTGATACTTCTGTCTGGCAGAGAGAAAATTGCTCAATAAAAGCATGTTGTATGAAGGGCAGGATTTGCTTCATTCATGTACATTTTATAAAAAGAAATATTTCCTATTCATTTATTACTGCTTATAGAGGACTTGGAAGCATCTAACTTCAGAAAACGTGAAAAAGCTATGCGCCATTTTAGAAAGAAATAAGAATACACCTGATCGGGGAAGCAAATAGATGGCCGTTTGTTTCTACAATTACCTGCATTCTCTTAGGTTAATTTTCTTAAAATACTTGTGTTCACTCGTTTGCTCCACAGCTTTCTTTTTTTCTTTTAAAATTATTTTTTAAAATTTATTATCATCAGAATCTTGTTTATATTACATTGAATCACATATAACTTTATAGTGTATTACATTTCTTTTTCCAGAAGGAATACCATGCATATCATAAGTCAGTAGAGAGACATTAAAATCCCCATTTCATCATCCAATAGTTTTTTTTTTTTTTTTTTTTTTTTGAGAGAGAGGTTTTTGCTATAGGGAGCGTGCGCTCACCAGAAAGACAGAGACAGGGAGACAGAAAACGAGAAATCACCCCTCCCCCCCCGTGGATGGCCACGCCGCAATCCCTTCTTCTCCATTCTCCTCTCAGAATCTTGGGCACACACACACACGTGCCTGGTGTGAGTTTAAGTCACTGGGTCCGGGACTCCGGGTCCGGGACTTGAACCACGGTCGAATACATGGGAGTCCAGCAACATAGCCATTACACTAACTGCTAGTCCCCCAATAGCTTTTCATTATTTTTCCCAGTCATCGTTATCATTATTATTATTCCAAGTATTTTTTACACAGTCAATCACTATTTCTCATTTTGCTTGTAAAAAGACTTTACCCAACCTGAAATACTTCTCAGACCAATCCAGTTGAGAATACTATACACGTCATCATCAACAGGTAATAAACCATATCTGTGCCCTGCTAATCTCATGCCTCTCTATTTGTTCTCTTGCTATCTTTCTCTATCCTCTTCTCCTGCCCCATTCCACAGTGTCTTATCCTCATTAACTATTTTCACTGCTTTTATCCAC